AATATATGGTTCAAAATCTCCAATGGGAATTCGAATATTGAGGCATTGATGACCACGGGAAACAAATTTTAAACTCGAAGAAGAATTTAGGAAAGTCATCCTTTGAAATAGAACCCATTTCTGAAAAATATTGAAAAAATTACATATTTCGAATTGAAATCTAGTTGTATTTCTGCCAAATCAATGTAAAATTTAGAAACTTAATTGCTCGTAATGTTATAGCGTCGAAAAAAAAAATTTGGCGCCCAACGCCACTTTTATGGAAAAAAGAAAGAGAATATAGAAAAAAATGGCGCCCAATATAACAAAATCTAACTCGAGTGTTACATCAATTCAGAAAAGGTCAGTAGATAAGGCTTCATTGGAATAAAGAGTCAAGAAATGTGAAAACATTCAAAAGCGGCCTACCTTTCGACATAAGTCCCACATGGAGAACCTGACGGTTTTAGGCGTGTTTTGTGGACCCCAGCTGCATTTTTACCAAAATTAATTGTAATTTTGAAAACCAAATAGGTATAACATATTTTTGCAAGAATATCCACCAAACAACGTTAATTTGTAGAAATATATGTTTTAAAGGTCCTAGCCACTCCATGGTTTAGTAAATATGATATTCAACATTTTTAGAAATTTTGGCTCATAGCTCATGTAGTGGTTTCCCCCTAAATGTTAGATATTTTTAAGCCATCTAATTTACCCATGGTGAAGGTTACTTCGCCAGGCCTAGCTAGCAAGTCAGGAAGTTTAAGTTGTTGTGATAATTATATGTGTACTGTACGCAGGACGTGTACGGAATGCAATAAGCGCACTTTGAAAAGAATCGGAGAAAATTTCACATTTCATGCTTTGTGAGAGAGGAACCTGTAGAAAGGTTAATGGTATATTTTTGTTGTTATTTTTTTTTATTAATCTAGGTGGATTTGTTATATTCAATATTGACATTGATCAAAGGACGAAAGGTTCTACAAATACATTCCACATTCGGCTGAAGACAAGTAGTATCTGATTATTTTTGTTTTTTTTTTATGATCAGCAACTATTCTCACAAAAATTTACCATTTAAGCTGAATAAGTTACGCCTGCAAAGAAATCGTTTCATTTTTCAGCGATTTACTAATATCCCAGTCTATTATGCAAATTTTCAATAATACACTATTAATTACAGGGCTTATGTCTTTTCTGGCAACATTGTGCATTGAAAGTATTAAAGCAAATTACGCAACCAAATACCAATTTATGCCTATGCAAGCAAGCATTTCATTTAAAACCACTGTTTAAATGGTTTACCTCTAAACTAGCTTTAAGTGTGCGCTTAAGTAAGCAATGCATCCGCGCCGTAGGAGACCAAGTAACAAATGACATATGGTAATTTTTGAAAACAGTTTATAGCTATGCTTGTGCACATATACATACATATGCACTTTTAAATATACAAATGTTTGTAGGTATGCACAGAAATATTCTCATGATAAATGTTTGGTCATGTCCTGACTATAAATGTTCGCAAAGGAGGAAAAGTTTGAAGAAAGAACATTTTTTCTAGAGAAATGGGTCAAGGAATATGTCGCAGCAGGAAAAAGAAGGGAAACATGCACAAGCTGAATAATGCTTGAAAATATTTCTGCATAACAATTGAATATGTCAACATTATTATAGCTGTTTGCGGAACAATTTTCTGTAATCAGACAGCCAAGTTATGTTCACCAAAAGAACTTGAGTGCTTTCGTGGGCAACAGGGAGAAATTGAATGGAAGATGACAAAAAAACAAGGAATTTAATTGCAGGGAACAGATTGTCGGAGCCGAGTAGGGGTATAAGAAATCAAAATTATCATAAAGGCAGACATTTAAAAAAATATATTTGACGAAAAAATTTAGAAAAAAGTAAAAAATCCGCGTTTCTCGCATTGAGACTCCTTGCGAGAAATATTTAAAAAATCCACGTTTGATATTCACATAGTCCTTAAAAATATATTTAAAAATTCCAAGTTTGATACCCTGATAGTCCTTCAAAAATACATCTAAAAATGCACATTTGATAGTCCTTAAAAATATTTACAAAGACCACGATCGAAACATTGATAGTCCTTAAAAAATATTTAAAAAATTAAATTTAAAAAATATATTTAGTCTTTCAAAAATATATTTAAAAATATATACTTAGTCCGTAAAAAATAGACCAAAAAAACCACGCTAAGTCTTTAAAATTTTGTTTTCAAAATTGAATTTAAAAAATATATTTAGTTCTTAAAAATATATTTCAAAAATATATGTAGTCAGTAAAAATATGTTTAAGAAATATATTTAGTCCTTAAAAATATATTTAAAAATATATTTAGTTCTTAAAAAATATTTTTAAAAAATATATTTAGTCTTTAAAAATATATTTAGTCATTAGAAAAATATTTTAGAAGTCCAAAAAAAAAAGTTTAGAACATCCATTTTGAGCTCTTAAACAATATTTTAAAAATAAAAATATTTTTATCCTTGAAAAATGTTTTTTAAAAAATCCAGGAATTGTCCTTAAAATGGTTTAAAAAGCCCAGGTATTGTCCTTAAAAATATTTAAAAAATCCAGGTATTGTCCTTAAAAATATTTAAAAAATCCACGTTTAGTCCTTAAAAATATATTTAAAAATCCTATTTTAGTCCTTAAAAATATTTAAAAAATCCACGTTTAGTCCTTAAAAATATATTTAAAAATCCTATTTTAGTCCTTAAAAAATATTTAAAAAATCCACGTTTAGTCCTTAAAAATATATTTAAAAATCCAATTTTAGTCCTTTAAAAATATCCAATTTTAGTCCTTAAAAAATATATTTAAAAAATCCAATTTTAGTCCTTAAAAATATATTTAAAAATCCAATTTTAGTCCTTAAAAATATATATTCAAAAATAAAGGAGTAGTCCTTAAAAAAATTATATTTAAAAAATTCGCGTTTGATACTCGGATAGTCCTTGAAAAATATATTATAAAAATCCACGTCTGATACTCTGAAGATCCTTGAAAAAATATATTTAAAAAATCCACGTTTAATACTCTGATAGTCCTTGAAAAAATATATTATAAAAATCCACGTCTGATACTCTGAAGATCCTTGAAAAAATATATTTAAAAAATCCACGTTTAAACCTCTGATAGTCCTTGAAAAAATATATTATAAAAATCCACGTCTGATACTCTGAAGATCCTTGAAAAAATATATTTAAAAAATCCACGTTTAATACTCTGATAGTCCTTGAAAAAATATATTTAAAAAATGCAAGTTTGATACTCTGATAGTCCTTGAAAAAAAAAACTGTTTAAAAAATCCACGTCTGATACTCTGACGGTCCTTGAGATATATATTTAAAAAACCCATGACTGGTACTCTGATGATCCCTGAAAAATATATTTAAAACCCCATGTCTGATACTCTGATGATCCTTGAAAAAATATATTTAAAAAATCCACGTTTGATGATCTGATGGTCCTTGAGAAATATATTTAAAAAACTCCTGACTTGTACTCTGATGATCCTTGAAAACATACATTTAAAAACCAACGTCTGATACTCTGATGATCCTTGAAAAAATATATTTAAAAAATCCGCGTTTGATACTCTGATGGTCCTTGAAAAAAATATATTTAAAAAATCCACGTTTGATACTCTGATAGCCCTTGGAAAAAATATATTTAAAAAATACACGTCCGATACTCTGATGGTCCTTGAAAAAAATATATTTAAAAAATCCACGTTTGATACTCTGATAGCCCTTGGAAAAAATATATTTAAAAAATCCACGTCTGATACTCTGATGATCCTTGAAAAAATATATTTAAAAAATCTACGTCTGATGCTCTGATGATCCTTGAAAAAATATATTTAAAAAATCCACGTCTGATACTCTGATGATCCTTGAAAAAATATATTTAAAAAATCTACGTCTGATACTCTGATGATCCTTGAAAACATATATTTAAAAAATCCACGTCTGATACCCTGATATTCCTTGGAAAAAAATACATTTAAAAAATCCACGTCTGATACTCTGATATTCCATGGAAAAAAAATACATTTAAAAAATCCCCGTCTGATACTCTGATGATCCTTGAAAATATATATTTAAAAAATCCACTTCTGATACCCTGATATTCCTTGGAAAAAAATACATTTAAAAAATCCACTTCTGATACCCTGATATTCCTTGGAAAAAAATACATTTAAAAAATCCACGTCTGATACTCAGATATTCCTTGGGAAAAAATACATTTAAAAAATCCACGTCTGATACTCTGATATTCCTTGAAACAAAAAATACATTTAAAAAATCCACGTCTGATACTCTGATATTCCTTGGAAAAAAATACATTTAAAAAATCCACATCTGATACTCTGATGATCCTTGAAAATATATATTTAAAAAATCCACGTCTGATACCCTGATGATCCTTGAAAATATATATTCAAAAAAATCCACGTCTGATACTCTGATGATCCTCAAAAAATATATTTAAGAAATCCACGTCTGATACTCTGATGATCCTTGAAAAAATATATTTAAAAAATCTCCGTCTGATACTCTGATGATCCTTGAAAACATATATTTAAAGAATCCACGTCTGATACTCTGATGGTCCTTGAAAAAATATATTTAATAAATCCACGTTTGATACTCTGTTGATTTAAAAAAAAATATATTTAAAAATCTACGTTTGATACTCTGATAGTCCTTAGAAGAAATATATTTAAAAAATCCACGACTGATACTCGGATAGTTTCTTCGAAAATATTTTAAAAATCCACGTTTGATAGTCCTTGAAAATGTATACAAAAAATCCTGTGTGGAACTTTAATAGTCCTTAAAAGATATTCAAGTTTTTTACTTCAATAAAATTTCTTAAAAAATCATTTCGAAAGTCATGATAATTTTGTCAGAATATTTTAAATTATTTCTATTTTTTTCTTTTTCAAAAAATTCCAATAATTTTCTAATTCTTGAATTTTATTTTTGTTACAGATGTCAATGCAAAAATTAACCGATGCCACAAATTCCGGTTATGTTAGCTCAGAAGAAACAGATTCACTACTAGTCTCGCAAACACCCAAATGCAAGTCTTCGGTATTAAGACAACTCAAAATGAATTCAGCTAATGGACCAACAACGAATAACATGACTTCCACAGCGTCACAGAAGCCCACACTGATACGACAGGATCGCACTTCCACATATCTAACGAGTCCCCAACTGTCGCAGCAAACCCGTTTGGGTTCGGATGACAGCGATCGCGATGGTGGCGGAAGTTGTCGCATAGCCGACGAAGATGTCGAGCAGGGGCTTCGGACGGCCACAGTGCCTGACATAGAAGTGTATCAAGAGGACCAAGATTACAATCAGAATCAGAATCAAAATCATCAGCAACAGCAGTTGTCTTCATCTGCGCCCACAACCTCCATACAAACACAACAACATCAGCAGCAGCAACAACAACAACAGCCAACTAGCAAGCTGCAACAACAACCAACCATATCAATAACGAATTTAAACAACTCGTATCCGGACAACAATGCGAGCACCACCAACTTGGGAACATCCTCATATCAGAATCTTTCATCCAATCCATTGTCTCCGAGTGCCCAAAATCGTTGTCGTGCCTGCAGAAACTGCAGCCGACGTGCCTCAACCACACCCATATCGACCACAGGTCACATGGATCGTTCAACGTCACGCGATAGTGTCAAAAGTGCCTTTCAACAAGGAAATCTGGGTGGTTCCCTCGTCGTCTATGGCGGCTCGAATAATGCCCTGCCTCACAATGTGCCCCCGGTTTTGGTAACCTCCTCGCCCACAAATGGTTCGCGTATCATACGCCAAAGTTCCCAGCCAGAATCGAGCACAAGTGGTGTTTGCTGCGGGGCCCACAGCACCTGCGGTCATTCTCATACCGTGCCTAATGTCTCTCTCAAACAGTTGCGCTCCACAGAAACTGATGGCATAGCTGGTATTGCGGCCGATTCGTTGCGTATCAACGGAGGCATGAGACCCTTCAAACAGGTGAGTCTTTTCGAACGTAATTTTTAAAGCATATTTTATTTATTTTTTTAAATTAAATTATTCTGACCCCCTCTAAAATATGAATGAAAACCCAATCACTTTCCCGATGTTGTCAAAACTTTTCCATTTTATCTTCTTTGACAAATGAATGTGAAGTGTGATGTTTATATTGTGCGAACATTTTTATAAATTGTTTGACATATTTCCGAGCACCTTCTTCTATCACTACTTTTCTTCCTTAACACTGTGAAAGTTTTACTTTTGAAACCAAATTTCAGATGTAATATGAAGTGCAGGTTTGAAGATCAGATTTGAGGACAAGATTCAATGGAAAATCTATTGAAAATTTAGGGTTCTTTACCCAAAGAGCGTTAAAAGCTTCCATATGCAAACGAGCTGCTACAGCTATTCTCGCTATAGAAGAGTGGTTACAGGTCTTCTAGCCATAGAAGAGCTGTTACAGGTCTTCTAGCCATAGAAGAGCTGTTACAGCTATTCTAGCCATAAAAGAGCTGTTACAGCTATTCTAGCTATAGAAGAGCTGTTACAGCTATTCTAACCACAGAAGAGCTATTATAGTTCTTCTAACCACAGAAGAGCTGTTACAGGTTACAGCTTCTAGCAATAGAAGAGCTGTTACAGCTATTCTAGCTATAGAAGAGCTGTTACAGCTATTCTAGCCATAGAAGAGCTGTTACAGCTATTCTAGCTATAGAAGAGCTGTTACAGCTATTCTAGCTATAGAAGAGCTGTTACAGCTATTCTAGCTATAGAAGAGCTGTTACAGCTATTCTAACCACAGAAGAGCTGTTACAGCTATTCTAGCTATAGAAGAGCTGTTACAGCTATTCTAACCACAGAAGAGCTATTATAGTTCTTCTAACCACAGAAGAGCTGTTACAGGTTACAGCTTCTAACAATAGAAGAGCTGTTACAGCTATTCTAGCCACAGAAGAGCTGTTACAGCTATTCTAGCTATAGAAGAGCTGTTACAGCTATTCTTGCCACAGAAGAGCTATTATAGTTCTTCTAACCACAGAAGAGCTGTTACAGCTTCTAGAAGAGCTGTTGACGCTCTTCTAGCCATAGAAGAGCTGTTGAAGCTCTTCTACCCATAGAAGAGGTGTTACAGCTATTCTAGCCATAGAAGAGGTGTTACAGCTATTCTAGCCATACAAGAGCCGTTGACAGTCTTCTAGCCATAGAAGAGCCTTTGACGCTCTTCTAGCCATATATGAGCGGGTGAAGCTCTTCTAGCCATAGAAGAGGTGTTCCAGCTATTCTAGCCATACAAGAGCCGTTGACACTCTTCTAGCCATAGAAGAGCTGTTAACGCTCTTCTAACCATAGAAGAGCTGTTGACGCTCTTCCAGCCATAGAAGAGCTGTTGACGCTCTTCCAGCCATAGAAGAGCTGTTGACGCTCTTCTAGCCATAGACGAGCTGTTGACGCTCTTCTAGCCATAGACGAGCTGTTGACGCTATTCTAGCCATAGACGAGCTGTTAACGCTCTTCCAGCCATAGAAGAGCTGTTGACGCTCTTCCAGCGATAGAAGAGCTGTTGACGCTCTTCCAGCGATAGAAGAGCTGTTGACGCTCTTCCAGCCATAGAAGAGCTGTTGACGCTCTTCTAGCCATAGACGAACTGTTGACGCTCTTCTAGCCATAGACGAGCTGTTGACGGTCTTCTAGCCATAGACGAGCTGTTGACGCTCTTTTAACCATAGAAAAGCTGTTGAAGCTCTTCAATCCATAGAAGAGCTGTTGACGCTCTTCTAGCCATTGAAGAGCTGTTGACGCTTTTCTAGCCATTGAAGAGCTCTTGACGCTCTTCTAGCCATTGAAGAGCTCTTGACGCTCTTCTATACATAGAAGAGCTGTTGACGCTCTTCTATACATAGAAGAGCTGTTGACGCTCTTCTATACATAGAAGAGCTGTTGATGCTCTTCTATACATAGTAGAGCTGTTGACGCTCTTCTATACATAGAAGAGCTGTTGACGCTCGTCTATACATAGAAGAGCTGTTGAAGCTCTTCTATACATAGAAGAGCTGTTGACGCTCGTCTATACATAGAAGAGCTGTTGACGCTCGTCTATACATAGAAGAGCTGTTGACGCTCGTCTATACATAGAAGAGCTGTTGACGCTCTTCTATACATAGAAGAGCTGCTGACGCTCTTCTATCCATACAAGAGCTATCGACGCTCTTCTATACATAGAAGAGCTGCTGACGCTCTTCTATCCATACAAGAGCTATCGACGCTCTTCTATCCATACCAGAGCTATCGACGCTCTTCTCTCCATAAAAGAGCTATCGACGCTCTTCTATCCATACAAGAGCTATCGACGCTCTTCTATCCATACAAAAGCTATCGACGCTCTTCTATCCATACAAGAGCTATTGACGCTCTTCTATCCATACAAGAGTTATCGACGCTCTTCTATCCATAGAAGAGCTGTTGAAGCTCATCTATCTATAAAAGAGCCGTTGAAGCTCTTCTATCCATAGTAGAGCTGATGAAGCCCTTTCATCCATAGAAGAGCTATTTGAGCTCTTCTATCCATAGAAGAGTTGCTGACGCTCTTGTAGCCATAGAAGAGCTGCTGACGCTCTTCTAGCCATAGAAGAGCTGCTGACGCTCTTCTAGCCATAGAAGAACTATCGACGCTTTTCTATCCAGTGAAGAGTTATCGACGCTCTTCTAGTCATAGAAGAGCTGTTGAAGCCGTTTTACCCATAGAAGAGCTTTTAAAGATCTTTAAAGATGAGCTCTTGAAGCGCTTCTATCCATATAAGAGCTCTTCAATGCATATAAAAACTCTCCTATCGATTCAAAAATTACTATATCCACTTTTCAATTACATCTGAGATTGGTTCTACAAATATTTACTATTTTGCCTTCATTTTATATATATATATATATATATATATATATATATATATATATATATATATATATATATATATATATATGTACCCAACTGGTATTTTGTGGCCCTGTTTTCCAATGTCAAAATTTTATTTTTCTCTTATCTGCAGTAATATATTTTATAATCCTTATGCGAATATAAAACATCACTTACTTTTCAAAATCCCCATAATTACTGTCCTCCAACTTATCGAAAAGAATCAAACAAACTTACAATTATTCAACTCTCCATGGCACAATGTTAAACATGAGAAACAACCTTAATTTATACTACCTTGGTAATTACTATGTAAATTATCAGTCCCATAAAAAAAAAAACAAAAAAACTTTTATTTTTTTCATTGACCCCAATTCCTTTGTGAACGCCGCCCTGCCAGTTCATTAAATGGCTATTTAACACAAAACTTTGTTTATTAACTTTGTTCTAATTTTATTCTGCTAAACATTAAACTTAAACTCTCTTAACATTAAACAACAATAACAACACATTTAACTACTTAAAACATATTTTCCTTTAGGGTGTCCTACTAATGCCTCGTACATTGTCCGAAAGCCGAAAATTGCGACTTAGAAGAGCTTTTACTGAGGCCACACATGAATCACTGCAATGCTCGAAAATGGTATTTAAATTTTGTGAAACAAAACTAAACCCACCACCCAGTTGACCCCTCAAAGTCCCCCCAAAACAAAATAATAACGAAACACTTTACCTCCCTGCCAGCAAAATAAAAGCAATTTACCCCTTTGAAGATTGTTAGATGAAAGCACTGTTCTGTTTTGGCGACCCTCCACTCCAATTAGCCCTGCATTTCACATTTTAGAAAAAAACTGCTACAGCTTGCTTTACCGTATTAATTGAAAATTTGCAAAAGATTTATCATTATTGCTTTTTTTTTATTTTTTTTTTTTTTTTAATTAAGGAATCTATTTATTTATTAATTTAAATTCTTAATAGATTAAGGTAGGCAGTGATATCAATTATATGATAAATATTTCTTGAGATTTTTGTGGCACTGGTATCAAATTTGAAATTTTGGAACACTATCTCCTTTAAGTTACAAGGTCTTTTAACCACCCTTTTTTATTATTTCCATAAATGTTGTAAAACTTCATCACATGATGAAGTGTATATGTAATTTCTTAATTAAAATAATCAGAAACTTGATATCCATAAAATTCCATGACTATTTAAAAATTTCCGTTTGTGCAACTTACTCCATGACTGCTTGTATGAGATCTGTTATATAAGATTTAGTGCTAGGTGTACCGTTTGAATATCATCTTCTTTTAGAATCTGATGCATGGTAATGCTGAAGTGTAATAAACAATTTATCTGGCATATCTATTGACATTGCTAGGCCCAGGGAGGCGATATGCTTACGTTCCGACTGCTTCGTATTGTAACCGATTAAGAAAATCCAATGTTTAAGGAGAGAAGGGATTTCGAAACTATTAACTACTTATTCCTTTTAAGAAGACTGTGTTAGTAAGTTGATATGTAAGTAGTAACGAAAGCCAACAATTGGTTAGGAGCTATAGCTATATCTGAACAGATTTATACCAATATGACGTACTTGTTTCTAGGCTGTCGTTTCAGTCGTCCGATGTGGAATTACATTACGAATTTTGTGCACCATCAACGTGAAATTGCGTGAAGATTTAAGTAGGAGTTATATCCGAAACGGAACCGATCTTCACAAATTTTGGCAAAGATATTTCTAAGCTGTATGTGATATCTTGTACCGGTTTGGGCGCTTTATGTATAAAATTGTTTTAAATGTATATATGGAAGCTATAGCTACATCTGAACAAATTTTCACCAATATTGACTTATTCGTTTGTAGAAAAAAATGCAAAAAAAATCCATCCAATTTGGGCTGATTTTAAGATCATCTTTATCGGAGTTATATTCAAATCTGAGTCAATCTCGACAGATTTTTACATAGGTATTTCTAAGCTTTGTTAAATATTTTGTATCGAAATCATTATTATGAAGGGCAAATTATGGAATTGGTATCGATTTTAACCAAATTTGGCACCGTTCAGGCACCGTTCATATATTACGCATTTAGTGCACAATAAACGTCAACTCGGGCGAAGATAAATATGGGAGTGATTTTTACTAAATTCAATAGCGCTTTAAACAATTTCAAGAGGCGCTTAAAACAATTTGTTATTTGAAAGGAGGTTATTGGGCCTTTTTTTAAGTATATGTTATAACAAGTAAGCAAGGGCTATGAACGCGCGGGGCCGACCATGTGATACCCTACAACACTACAATATATGGGAAAACCTCCTTAGATCCAACCCCATTTTTTTCGATTTTTTTATTTGAAACAATGTAATACAGTTCTGCACAAATGTTACCTTTGGTTTTGGCCAGGGCATTTGTCTTATGTTTACTCATCTCTGTCGAGCTAATTGGAATTCAAAACAATTACAGCGACTTCAAAATCAGCAAATTTTTAATATTTTGATTCATTTGAACCCCTAAATATACATTTCAAAACAATAGGCTTCTATTTGAAACCTAACTCTACCTCCATGCAAAATTTCGTAAGATTCGGACGATATGTGCGACTTCAATATAATACCCTTAACGCATAGTGTTGCAGGGTGCAAAAATATTAAAAAAATGTACAAATCAAAACATGAAAAAATCGCATGCGATAAAAATGTTTACAAAAAATATTCACTTTTTTTGGCATATTTTTGAGCAATTTTTTTATTCTGGCGAGAAACCATTCCGTATTGATGCGAATTTAATAAAAAAAAATAGTCCAGCGGTTCTTGACTTATAAGCGGAATAACCAAGATCGATTTATTTTATATATAGTTGTATCTATTTTGCTATATATCCCACATCTTGGTCATCAGCATCCTGTAGTGGTCAGAAGTGATCTTTTAAAGTTTTTTTTTTTTATTTATCCAGGATTAAAAATATTGGCGGTTTAGTGGAAATTGTCGTATATTTTGACACAAAAGTTATGGTTTATTTTACCCGCTTAGTAATGTCCGATGATCGTCCAAGTTGGTAGGCTTCTTCCCAGCTCTAAGTCCTAACTCCATGCCGCGTCGATTGGTTTATAATTGTGGGCTGTAGAGAAACAGCAAAATCAGATTTTTTCACATGCGTAATATGCACTCCAGAAGAATGATATTTGGTACCACATAACTTATGGAGCTCAAAAATATTTCTGTCAAATTTTGACATATCAGGTTGGGATATAGCTGACATATATAAATTTATCCAATATCAGGATTATTCTACATCAAATGACTAATATCAGTCCAAATGACCTGAATTTTGGCAATTCCGACTGAATTTATCCTAGAAAAAAGTATTTCAAATTTGGTAAAAATCCGTTCAGATATAGCTCCCATACATATGTTTCATCCTATTTGGGGCTTTAAGTATCTCACATGCATAATATGCACTCCACAACAATACCTGACATCGGATACAGCTCGAAAGTACATCTGCCAAATTCTATCGGTTCAGGTTTTTATATAGCTTCGGTATACATTTTCATCCGATTTTACGGTTATTGTCCACCATACAGCCAAAATTAGATAATTTTTTTCATATTCAACCGAATTATTCCAATAAGTATTTTTCATATAATTCGTATCGAAGTCACATCATGCATTATATAGTAATGTCATTAGGTACTAGAGATAAGAAAGCCTGCCTCAAATTTGTTGAAAATCGATTCAGAGTTGTATATAGTTCCCAAATTGTGAGTACTCTAAAGCCATGATACGCATTCAAATAAGGTTCGTAGTACTTAACAAAAATTCCCAGTATAATCTTTTGTTTGCTACGGCAGCTCTACTAAATACGCATAGTGGTGTAGGGTATCATATAGTCGGCCCGCCCAACTTTTGGCCTTTCCTTACTGGTTTACATTAGCTAGGGTATGTGAACTTTTCTTAAATGCTTTAAAGATTTAAATTCTTCAAGAATTGTTGCAAAATGGCCAGACTTAATCCTATTTATTAGTGGAGAACGATGGTAATGTTTACCAGGGGGTAAGGCAGGGAATACCTAGGTTTCGGAAAGAACCACTAATCCTCATCAGTTTCCTTGTTTTTTGTCTGGGATTTTCTCCCCAGAAGTTATTTTAAAAATACCTTCTCTGAGGAAAATCTTTTTTTACCCAAGTGACCCAAGTGAAGATCGTAAGCTCAATAGAAGAGGAACCAAAGAATTACATAAAACTAAAAGTCTTTTGGAAAATCTTCTAAATCTTACAACCGCACTTGTTGTTCGTTGTTTTTATAAAAACAACAATAAAGGGAATAAGCCTGACCATTTTGCAACAAGAAAATACTATGGTATCCCGAACAAACAAGCCAACACTGTTTTTTAAGAATTTGTTACTTTCAATAAAATTGTGTCCCTTACCATAGATAATTGTATTTTCAGTTTTATAATTTTATCTTTCAAATTTGAAATCAGTGCCTTACAGATAATCCAAGAATATTTATCATATATAAATCTCGAAAGCTTTGTTACTTGTTCCCAAAATGGCAAATTTTGAAATGTTGCACAAATTTAAGTAGTTCACGCCGTTATGTTTTTTTTTTGTTTTTGCTTTTCATTATACCTGCGAAGTTTGATCCAAAGTGAAAATTATTTTTTTAAGAGATTGAATCGATTTCGAAAATATTTGTTAAAGCATGTCTAATTATTTTTTTTAATTGAAATCTATTTTTTACAGAATTTTTATATTAATTCCTTGAAAAAAAAAATTTAAAAAATTAATAAATTTACACTATATTGAATATATATATTTGTCAAATAATAAATTTAATTTGTGAAAGCGAAAATCGCAAATATTATATTCTATTAAAATATTTCATAATTTTCAGTAATTACAATTTTGGGAGATAAGACCAAGTCCTATTGCTTAGACATACCATAGGATTTAAATTAATGCAAAATCATATATTAATATAATACGAGCATTTGCTGGTACATATTATTTGAATGTGGTATTGTGTATATATATATATATATAGAGTTGCCCCAAGATAGTCCAATCAAAGGAACCAGTTCTTAGTTTAGTCGACTCGGGTAGTTTGTATGGAAACTATGAGTATAGTGATATAAAATATATGAATCTTATCAAATCATGTTAAACAACTGGTGTACTGAAATATGAACTTGATTGATACAACTCCACATGAACATATAAAAGTGTAATAACATCTGTATTGTTCCCAATTCTTTAATGGTCCAATGAAAAGCTTTGTTGGTTCTAAATTGTAATTTTTCCCATGATCTACCTATAAAGAATTTTATGTAGTAAATGTACTTTAACTATTTATTATTATTTTTTTTTTTCTATCAAATATTCATTTTCTGACGATGATTTTCAGTTTTACTAATTCAAATTAACCTCATTGAATTGACATTAACAAAAAAACTCAACATATTGCAGAAAGTTCCCAAAACCATTTGTGAAAATCCACCACAGACAATAAGTACAATAGCTTTTTTTCGATTTAGCTAAAAATTTAGCTGTCGTTTGTATTCGGGCACACACAAATAGTTGTTAGTCATTGTATTTATTTGTTGAGGGGATTAAGAGAGAAAGAGAAAGAAAAAAAGCTT